CGTCAGTAACCATCACACCAGCTTCCAGTTCCAATTCAACCATTAAAAAAAAAAAAAAAGATCAAAGAGCAACGTATCTTCAACCAGCTTCGGCAATGTACTAACCATATCTTCAACCAGCTTCGGCAACGTACTAACTCCTTTATTTCCAAAAACTGCTATAGGGTGAGAGCACTTCCAAGGGAGAGAGGGAGAGAGAGAGAGAGAGAGAGAAAGAACGTAAGAAAGCATTCCCCCAGGGGGGATGGCCATGCTACAATCCCTTCTCCATTTTCTTCTTGGAATTTTGGGCACACACACACATGCCCATCATGCATGGGGGATGGCCATGCTACAATCCCTTGTCCTCCATTTTCTTCTTGGAATTTTGGGCACACACGCACACATGCCCATCATGTTTTTCAAGTTGCCGGGGCTGGGACTTGAACTGCACAGCTGGGCATATGGGATCCAGCTGCCTGAACCACCATGCCATCTGCTGGCCCACTCCTGTCCAATTGTGCATCACCTGCCCCTTATCCACCTCCTTTTACCATGTTTTATTTTGAAGCAGATCCTAGACATCATAGGATCTGTAAATATCTTACTTACATGTCTCTAAAGCAATTTTTAAAAATCTAAACAACAAAAACCATAATTCTAACAATTTCTCACAGCATGAGAAGTCAAAATTAAAACAAACAAACAAACAAAACAAACACACAAATTATCAAGCCTCACCTGAGGAGAATCGTGGCAAGGGAACCACAGTCATGACAGACAGCTTAACAGCCTGACCCACCCCAGGAGACCAGAGCACCTGGTCTCCGGTCTGGCCAGGCAGGCCCCAGGGACACTGGCCAATGAGTGTCCACACTGGAACGCAAAGCCGTACGCCCAGTGGGCTGAAGACCTTCAGGGTAGCAGGGCTAGCACACGTGCTCCCGAGTCTTTGTTGAATCTTTTGAAAAACTCAGGAGGCTAACATTATGTTCCAAGGGCCGAACACCAGATGGGAATCCAAGGCGGTGGGCTGGGAGACAAGGAGAGGTGTGGCATACCAGCTCCCTGGCCATCCCCAACCCAGGAACCAGATCGAGGCTGCGAGATAGCTCCTTCTCTGGGCTACCTCTGTGCCATTTCTCCCCGTGCACGACACTTGTCTATTTTAAAAAAATATTTGTTTATTTTATTTTTAGTTTTATTTATTCACTTATTTTAATTTGAACAGAGACAGACAGAAAAAGAGAGAGAGAAAAAAAAAGTGAGAAAACAAGCCACCAGGTCTGGGACTGAAACTGTGGTCATACATGTGGGAGTGTCCAGCGCCTTAACTACCCCACCACCTGCTGGTCCCGTTTATTTATTTTTAGAGAAAGATTTTTGCCATAGGGCACATGAGCTTGCAGGAGACAGACATAAAGTGAGAAACTGACCCTGGGAGGATGGCCACACCACAATCCCTTCTCCTCCATTCTCCTCTCAGGATCTTGGGCATGCACGCACACGTACCTGCTGGGTCGGGGACGTGGACCAGGTTGACTCTGTGGGAGTCCAGCAACATAACCACTATGTTACCTGCTGGTCCCAGCAATTGTCTATCAATATCCATGCCTCCCCCTCCAGAGCATGAGTCCTGGCAGGCAGGATGGTGCTGTGTCCTGAGCAGTGAGCACAAGATGCTCAGCACATGGTTCTCCAGAAGGACCGCCTAGAACAGCCATCACGTGATGAGGTCAAGTGCTACAAAGCACAGGCATGGTGTGCCATGACCAGCTGAGGCAGGCAGGGCGTGTGCCAAATGCCTGAGAGCAGATGGGCTGGAGGACTGAGCCAAGGGTCATGGCATGGCGAGGGGAGGGTGCTGGTCTGTCTCCATCTCTGTCTCTCTCTCTCTCACGCACACTCACACACACACACGGTCATGCATGTGCTCTATCTCTGGTATCTTCAGAAGCGAAAGGGAAGCAAGTGAATGTTCAGGACAACCAGCCTCTGCACTCCAGGGCTACCAAGCAATGAATAAAGGAGTTAAAATACACTAAAACCTTCAGTAAGTGTTTAAGAAAGAATGAGGAGGAAATAATTAACTGTACATTGCTGAGGGGACCATGAATTGATATAGTCACTTTGGAGGGCAATTTGGCAATATCCAAAAATACATTTAATGCTTAAGTCCATAAAAGAATATAATGCAAAAAAATAAAAATAAAAGGAGCATTCACAATGACAATCAATGACCAAAACAAGAGCTTCTGTAAATTAAAATTTTAATAGCAGAAATAAAAAATTCAATGGAAGCACTGAAAGCTAAAGCTTAGAAAATTTCCAAGAAGGCAGAGCAAAGGCTTTAAAGAGATTAAAAAGAAGAAGAAGAAGAAAAAAAAAAAAAAAAAAGAAAGAAAACCAAAGGATTAGTCTAAGAGGTCTAATATATGATTAAAAGGCATTCCAGAGGGGCTAGCAAGTGGCGTGATGGTTAAGGTGCTAGACTCCCACATGGCCAACCGCGGTTTGAATCCTGGACCTGGTGGTTTGCTTTCTCACTTTCCTTTCTCTCTCTGGTCAAATGAAAAAATAGTAATAATAGAATAAAATATTTCTTAAAAAGAAAAGGATTTCCAGAGAGAGAACAGAGAAAACAGATGGTAAAAATAAAGAAATAATAAAAGAAAGAAAGAAAGAATGAAAGATAATTGTCTCATATTCCCTTATTCTGGGTTTCCAAACTGAAAGGGCAATAAGTATCAGGGAGAATAGATAAAAAATGTCACATCCAAGCACATCGCTGAGGGCTTCGGAGCCCTGGGGAAACGACCTCACAGGCTTCCAGGGAGACACCCACAAGGGATGACAGATCAAAATGGCTCTGGTGGGACCAGCAGTTGGTATAATGGCTATGTCGCTGAACTCCCATGTAGGCGACCGCAGTTCGAGTCCCGGACCCAGTGGCTTAAACTCACACCAGGCGTGTGTGCATGCGTGCCCAAGATCCCGAGAGGAGAGTGGAAGAGAAGGGATTGTGGCATGGCCACCCCCACTTTGGGGTGATTTCTCGCTTTCTATCTCTCTGTCTCTCTCTTTCTGGCGAGCGTGTGTGCCCTATAGTAAAAACCTCTAAAAAAAAATGGCTCTGGTCTTCTACACCAACCCGGAAGTGGGATGGCAATCACGGCCATCATTTCCCGGTTCAAACGAGATCTATACCTTGATTAAGTATCAGGTGAGGGTTGACGAATGAGATTTCCAGACACGCGCAGTCTCAGAATTTACCTGCTTTCTCAAGAAATTACTGGATGATGCACCTCACCAAAATGAGGGTGCGCCACACCGAGAAGGTGAAAGACACACGTTACAAAGGGCAGATCTGTCCAATGGGACAGGGGAGGACGAGGTCCCTGGGAGAAGAGTTTGCACAGGGAGGCAGAGTGTGTTAAGAGACTCACGGCAATGTCACACTGACTGACTTAGCCGAATGACACCACAAGACAAGACGGAGGGATGGAAGGGTGGAGGTGAGTGGTGGGGGCAAGAGCTAAATCCTGACCTCTGACAGACAAGGTGATAGATGATGTGAAAAAGAGCAATGTGGATGTACTACTGTATTTAGAAAAATGTCAGAAAAGTAAAACCACCAAGGATGAGAAGCAGCTGACTGAATAAGGGGAGGGCGCTGTTTTAGAACACTGTACACAACTCCACTAAATGCAAAAATATGAGGGGAATCCGCACACAGGAGCTACTGGGAGGAGCTGGACGACCTTCCAACAACAGTGCCCCAAACAGTCCGAAGTTTTTAGCCGGCCAGATCACAGTGCTGTTATGGCCATTTGTAAATGACTACAATATTTCCTTTAGGAACCACAGAAACAGCTTTTTATAAGCACTTAGAAGATACAGCTTTTACATTCTATTTCTTTCTTTCTTTTTAACTCTTTTTTGCTATAGGACACGTGTGCGTACTGGGGAGAGAGAGGGAAAGTGAGCAATCACACCTCAGGGGAGATGGCCATGCTGCAATCCATCCTCCTCCATCCTCCTCCTGGGATCCTGGGCACGTACGCACACATGCCTAATATATTTTCTTTTTCTTTTTTTTTAAAGAGAGGTTTTTGCTATAGGGTGTGTGTGCTCGCCAGAAAGACAGAGACAAAGTGAGAAATCACCCCCCAGGGGGCATGGCCACACCACAATCCGTTCTCCTCCATTCTCCTTTCGGGATCTTGAGCATGCACGCACACGCGCCTGGGATGAGTTTAAGCCACTGGGTCCAGGACTACATGGGAGTCCAGTGACACAGTCATTACGCCAATTGCTGGTCCCGGCCTGGTATATTTTGCAAGCTGCCAAGTTTGGCACCTGAAGCACGGAGCTGGCCATGTGGGATCCAGCCACATTAACCACCACGCCCCTAGCTGGCACTCATCTCACTTTAATCTTGTTTCTGGATGTAACTCAGAGGGTGTGTCCATTCGCCAGATAGGGACACAGAGGGAAGGTGAGAGCGCTCACTCCTCGATGGAGTGTGTCACACTGCAATCCCTTCTCCTCCATTCTCCATCCTGTCAGGATTTGGGGCACACATGTGCACACGTCTAGTGTGTTTTTAAAGCTGCTGGGTCTGGGATTTGAACTCCATGGTCAGTCATGTGGGATCTGGTTCCCTTAAGCACTAGGCCATGAGGCCAGCCCAAGTGTTATAGTTAAAAATATTTTTTTGCCAGATGGCACGTGTATTTGCCAGAGAGAGAAAAAGTTAAAGAATAAACACCATCAATGAGGAATTGTCATGCCATACCCCCTCTGCCTCCATGTCTCCTTCCTGCTGTGATCCTGAGGACATGCACACACAAGCCGGGCATGCTTCTCAACTGCCAGGTCCAGGATCTGCAGCACACGCTCGGCTGTGTGGACTCCAGCTTCCTTCACTCCAGGCCATGGGACCGGCCCAAGCTTTACATCTGAACCGAGTGCCAACGCCACCCAGTGCGGCGGGTACAGAGACTTCCTACAGTTCTTACCGGCTGTAAAGATGCCCTTGGTGCTCTGTCTTATACTAGAGGGTCTCACGATGGCTGAAAGCCCTGTGAAAACAAAACCAGAGAGGCTACCAAAAACCCACACAAATGTTACCGTATCATAGCAGCTTTAGAACCTGAGACTAAATATTCCTTCCATGTGTATGATATGAGCAGCAAATCTGCCCCTGTCCTGGTGTCACAGGGACCATGAACGTGGGACCAGGATTGAGGGGCTGGGACCAGGAGCGGCTCAGCTGTGGTGGGACACGAGCCTGCTGTGTAAGCCAGGGAAGTCAGAGCCGCTCTGCACCTGCGTCTGCTCTCCGTAAACAGGGCAGGCAGCGGGTGAGCGACCCTCACAAGTCATTTTACAACTTCAAATCTGCTGATGACTTCTGGTTCTCAGTTCTAAGATATGAAAAGGTAAAAAACCAAGTGGTTTAATCTGGGAGAAAAATTTTTGTTCTGAAGATACACACACAGTATCCCTTAGCGACGAGCAACTGTTCAAGCCTTCCATCCATTTAAAAGGACCGCAGAGCGCTGGCTGTCCCCAGCACCATGTTAGACAGCGTGGCTCACTCAGGTCTGCCTTCAGACCGAGGGGCTGTGAGCTGAGCGCATGCTCGGAAAACCTGGCGCAGTCCGTGAGCGAGCGAGCATGGGCTGGCCCACAGCAGCTAGAACCCAACTGCGGTCTAGTTCCCAGCGTGGCGGCCGCAGCACCAGGTGGTGCCATGATGGCAACACGACGGAATCCACGTGGGGAAGTCATGGGTGCGTGTCCTGGACATCCCTGAGCATGCTGGAGGCACGAGAGATCTGGCTGAGACTGGAGGTGGACTGTGGCGTGGAGGCTTTTTGGGATGCCTCTCTCTCCTCTTTCTCTCCCATGCAAGAAATCAATCAAAAACTTAGTAATTATCACTGTATTTGCATTGAGCACAGTGGCTTACAATGGAGAGTTCAGTAAATATTTACTCAATGAAAACAGGAAAACGGAGGCACTTGAGGGAGGGGCACATTCTGCAAATGATCTTTACACCTCTGAGGGAGTGTGTCTCAGAAGATAAGGTCCAGATTTCCTGATAAACACTGGCA